GTTCACAGTAAGGCGGTTCATAATGCCATGACTGAGGCGACTTGGGATTCATCAACACGCCCTGTAAATTCATCTTTATAGCACCGATTACACTACACATAGACGTGATATTTTCAAAACATAAACCAAGAGCATAGTATATGTTTTCCTGGTTTTGTGTATCTGTGGGGATAGCCAGACGGGCTCATTTCATCAGATCCTAAAAGTAACTCGTACAGTCCCTGGAATCCTGCAATTTCCGCCATTTGCGTTGGCGACCGCCCGAATAAAATATTGCAGAGCAACAGCTTCATTGCGTGAAATTTGAAGAGATTCATCACATTCTCCTTTGTTGCCCTTTGTTTCTCAGCTTATGGTTTCCTTCTGAGAGCAAACTGTAACTTTTGATGTTCTGTTCGGCATCCCGTTGTCGACAGAAAGAAGGGGGTGGGGGTGACACTCTGCATATATGTAACGTCTTGTGTGTTTGCAGTACAATAGACCCCCTCTTCTACTTTCCTGCAATATTTTTTATTCGTTCGTTTCAAGAAAGCCTACCAGGTAAAGAAAGGAATTTGAGCCATTTCTTTACTTCTGTGCACGCCAAGGAGGTGTTTGTGGAAAAATAACGAACTTTGCAGGCAACGTTTGTCCTAATGCATTGAGGACGAAAAAAAGGAGGCTTATCCCCGCCTCCCTCCCTCCCACCAATATTATTTTTTGCACTATGTGATATACAATTGAAAAGATACATCAGGCCATCAACATCGACGAAGCGCATCTTACAAGTAGCAGCAATTGTCTCCTGCACGGTTGAATCACTCTTGGCCATGTATATAAGCGTCGATGTCCTAGTTTTAACCCCCACCACAACTTAGGCTATGACGGCGATGGGTGTTTTGACTGAGGAATGTGTGCTCGCGCTGTGCTTCCTGGTGGCTGCAGGAGTTAATATTTCAAGACAGCAGACTGGCATTTGTCAGGGGATGAAACTGAAGGAGGATGAGATAAAGTACGTTTTAAAAATTTGTATAATTGACCTTAAACAAATGCAGCAAAAAATGGATACTTTTTAAAAAGGATTGTCCCGCCTGTCGAACCGGACCAGGATGCAAGACCGTGGGTAGGTTGAAGCTGCAATTTCAATTGCCACTGGTTTCTTTCAGAGAGGAACATAAAAAAGCTGTTTGGTGGCATTTGTACCTAATAGAAGTAGGCCTTGCATACACTAATAAATTAGACACCGACACCTGGTATAAGCAAAGCGGGGACATCCCACAAGCGGTTCAGACAGATAAGATGCAACCGTTGCAACTAGAAGTTTACTTGCCTGCTGTTTTGAGTGCTAGCTCGAACCTATCATCAGAAACAAGCCCAGATAAGTGTGATAGAAGCACAATGTACACGGTATTAACAACAAAGTGGTCGCGTTGCCACTATGAACCAAAAACACTGCGCGCTGTGTGCCTCTATCTCCGCTCTCTGCAGTTGTTTCTGATAAGGATTTTATGCGAGAATTCATACCTTCAGACCAATAGACTTGCAGTTCCGTCTCGTTCTGATATGTCGATAAATCATTTTTAATGTCACATTACACGACAGGTGTCGATTAATAATGCCCGTTATTGACAAGTTTATAATAAAGAGTATTATAAACAGTAATAAGGAAAGCTACAAAGATCACTCCTAACAAATCTGGAGCCACTGACGAATGCCGACTTAAACTAATAACAGTTGCCAGGTAATGCATGAACCTGGCGTCTCGAACTAAGATCTTTCATTGTCGAGGATACGAGGCAGCGCGTTTAAATTCTCAAAAGCGGGACATCCACTAACTTGACAATGGTGTATAAAGGAATACGACAGCTATGTTTCGCTCGTTATATCCGACTATATTTTCCATTAGTGGTTTCATGTAAGTGAAATTTTTCTGGTTTATATTCCAACTGAACGTATATGTGTAGTACTTGCATCCGTTTTTGGATCTAGGTTTCAATTTGATACACATACGAGTATGAATTGAAAATGAGCAACCATTACTCACTAAATCTTGGCCCTGTCTGTAGAAAATGCAGATTTAGGACTAGGCTTATTAATCTACATAGGAAAATGGGAACAAATTTACATTTTCGTATTTGCTAAGATATTGAAACAGATCTTCACCTTATAATAAATGCATCAGAAATTAAAATGTAGCTTGGAATGCCACAATAAAAGATACATACTGGCGGCAATAAAAGTGCCACGTAATTTATACTTCCAGGTGTCCAATAAGTCAGGCAGCTTATTCAATGTCTTAAGTCCGCGCAGAGCCTATTCACATAAATGCGTAGTTAAGTGCAATGGCATGCATTCTTAGGTCGACAGCCAACAAAAAGACAACTCCGAATCGTCTGACTGACTGTTTGGCTCAGACATTTTCTTATATAATTATAATTTTCACTTTTGACAGACTTTCATTGGCCTGTTTTCAGTAAACCATGCGCCAAGATTTCTTGCAAAGACGTACGCGTTACGAATGCCGTCCAGTGCCGTAGTGGGCCACGTGCTTGGTTGCATACCAGCCATCGATCGGGATTTGTGTTCAACAGCGGATACCGATCTTCAGGACTGTCAGGTGGTCGACTATTCGCTGGAGGCCTTATCCGACTCATCAGAACAGTTTACAGTTGACACAGATGCCTGTGTAGTTCGAACCGATGTAAATCTAACGGACGCGCGTTTTGACAAACCCATCGCTGAACTACGCCTGATCGCACGAAATCGCGGAATATTTCAAGAAGATTTTGGGGAGGCCAAACTTGTTATATGGCTAATAAACGATATCAAAATCCCCGGTGTGGTAATATTTCAATCGATAATATGCTCTTATTATGTTGTATTTACAAAATGTTCTACTATACATGTATACAGCAAACCTAATTGGCTTGCGCAATCATTCGATTTTGCTTGAGCCAACGGAGTTGCCAATTAAAACATAACACATACAGTCGAAAATGTAGACTAATAAATTGATATTTGTTTGAAAAAGCTCATGGTTGTTGTCATAAAGAATGTCGAAATTAGTGATTAAGACATACTAACATCACTGGTTCTTGATAACACATTTGACGAACGATAAAAGT